GCCGCGCGAGGTCACCGACAGTGCGCAGATGAACTCTTTGAAATCGATCATTCCGCTGTTGTCGGAGTCGAACACGCGGAATACGTAGTTGGCGAAGGAGGACGGATCGCCAAAGGGGAAGAATTGCCGGTAGATCTTTTGGAATTCCTCCTTGGTCAGGGTGCCCGAGGGACAGTCCTTGAGGAAACCTGTACGCGCGGGAGGGTCAGCCATCGGAGCTTGCGGGAGATCAAATTGCACCGCATACCTTTATACCATTGTTGCAGCTCCTTCTTATCGAAATGCGTAGATTTCTGCAACTCCTCGAGCTGAGTCGGGGACAACTTGGATTGTCTGCGACAGAGCCCTTGGTCAGCATGGATTCGGATCGGGTCCTGCGGGGGGGTTTGAGGGTGTATTGGGCGACCCCGCGGCAACTTACGACTTGCCCATTGTCAAACAGCCGAATCAAGACGGGGAATACCAAGCTCATGTACGTCGGAAAGCACAGGTGGGGATCGCCGGGGAGGGAGAAAGACCAGAAAATGGTGAGTGACGCGGGGTATCAACGGAAGGTGGCGCAGTCGGAGGTGAGGTGAGAAGTGTGTGGTGGGCAGGGAGAGGACAGGGTGGTTGATTGGATGGAGGGATGGGCGAGCGAGTAAAAGAGGACACAGAAACGAGAGAGCAATCCCGGATGTAAGGAGGCCAAAGAAGGAGTGAGGGTGTGAAAGAGAGAGGGTTCCAGCACAGCCCGAGCTAAAGTCGTCGTCGGAGTGGCGAGTGAGAGAAAGTCCAGAACCTCCGGAAGCCCGATGTGACCCGCTACATGATTATGTATCAATTTACTGTTTCATTCAAAACAATGCTGACTCTATATTTTGCACAATATAGTTAGGGAAAAGCCCATCGCCTACACACACACACACACATATAAAAAAAAGGGAAGAAATACAACGCCGATCATGGGGATCCCCGAGAACAGGCTAAATGCACCATGCAACCTATTTAGTCCACCTTGATCGATCCATAGATGCGGTGGATGAATGCCCAACTGGCGAAGACGCCGATAGATCCTACAGTCGGGTCCATCAGCCAGGGTGGCCAGACAAAGACAGGGGATAACATACCGGTCAGGATGAAAACGACGAATCCGATAAGCGCGGAGTAGCCCACGTAGAGGACGGCGCCCGTCAAGCCACCAAAGCTCACACGGGTCGCCCAGAAGATCAGTGCGTTAAGAAAGACATAGCCGCCGGTCATGCCTGCGCCGAAAAACGCCCGCCAGTGCCACCGGTAGTTCTCCGCGCACAGCAGGAAGTATACTAATAGCACAGTCGTAGCCGCCGAGGTGATAATCATCAGCCCGTAGCAGAGGAACAGGAATCCAAACATGTAGTAGATCTTGTTGGTCCAGAGCGAGGTCATGATAAAGTAAAGCTCCACAAAGATCGCGCCGAAAGGCAGGATGCCGGTCAGCAGGATGGATGGGATCGTGCGAAGGCTGCCGGACGTCGGTGGCACCTGGCGGGGGATCTGGTTGGTCTTGGTCGGACCCTCGATGGCCTGCAAATGTGTGAGAACATGGATCGTAGAGAGGAGGAGCAGTGGACACATACGGCCTGCCGGAATCCCAGCCAACTTCCAGCCACACTCAGGGGCACGCTGATCACAAACCAGATCAGCACCAGGGCGAGCATCGTGCCAAAGGGCACGGCACCGCTGGAGCCCTTGGCCCAGACGAAGAGGTTGAACAAGAAGAAAGTGCAGAAGATGAATCCGGGAATCAGAAGGGGCGTCATGACGATGTTCCGTTTCCAGGCTTCGCCGCCAAAGGCCTTGTACACCCGAGCTGACACGTATCCACTGATGCCGCCGAAAATGGCAGAGATCAAGAGAATCGCGGTAGCCAGAAAGCCACGGTTGGCAGGTGACAGAAGTCCGAGGAGCGCAAATACTAGACGGTGGGTGTGAGTATGTATGGTGCCATTCAGTCATGTCTACTTACCAACTGTGACACCGGTCATCATGAACAGCTGAGCCCCGTTACCGAGTAGCACACTGAGCAACAGCGGTGACTTGGGGCAACGGAAGACATCGCCGTGAACCAGCTTCCAGCCCGAGTCCTCCTGGATCCCGTCCTCGACGGCAGCCGACGTGCCGTCAAGGTCCTCCAGGCTAATCATGTCCAGTCGATTGTAGCGAGCAATATCCTTCTTGAGCGCCCGGACCAGGATCATTCCGACCATGCCGACCAGGAACACCACGAAGACGGCCGAATTGATCAGAGAGAACCAGTGAATCTTCGGGTCGTAGACATGCAGGTACTTGTCCCAACGGGTGGCCCACGCCGTTGGCGATTCTTTCCAGGAGACGCTGTACGTCCACGTCAACGGCGTGTCTGCATCTTCATTCAAAGCCACAACGGTGTCACCGGTGCCGCAATCTGCGGTCCCATCTTCCCGGACCCGCGAGTCCGCACGAGACTGTGGGTGCACAAGCACTCCAACGACACGATACTGGTTCTTACCGCGATATCCCACACGGTGGTAGTCAATCTGGATGTTGAAATGATTGTTCAACACGGTCTGTCCATTGTCATCGAGGTCGCCCAACGAAAAGCCGGGGTTGTAGAACTTGGTTTGTGTGACACCGTCGTAGTGCAGCTGCGCGGCCGGCAGCCCATCCACCAGCCAGTTGATGTTGTAGCCTTGAGCAATGCGGCGGTTGATAAACTTGGCGCTACGCGCGTCGAAATTAACTTCCCCACAAATGGCTTTGCACGTCTCGTTTTGAGCCATGTGGAGCTCGAACGGAGAGGTTTGAATGCGGTCGCCGAACAGAATACTCCCCAGTGACTCCCTGACATCCTTGGGGCCATCTTCGGGTTGACAGAAATGAAGCTGTGGGTGGTAGTAGTCATATGCAAACACGGAATGTAGCTGGTCGTCGCGCGACAAGCCCGGGGTTAAGTGGTTGACAAAAAGCGGGACGGTTTGGCCCTCATCGTACGACGTAGGTGCAACTCCGGGGAGGTAGAAGGCCCGAGAGAGAGAGGGAAGAGCCAGAAGTACCGACGAGAAGAGGGTCGGCCGATCGGTGAACCGCATCGTGGATGTCTCTGGACCGAGCTCTCGTCAGTAACCGCCGTTTGTTTTTGCAGGGTACTATAAAGCAAAGAGAGACTCATTAGAGGTAGGAGCAGGGATCATACAGTCGAAAATTGTCACCATAGAAGAACCAATCCACGGCTTTCATCCGTCCAGAACAGAGACCAAACAAGGCGCAGCGAGGGTTGGATGAGGCTGAGAATGAAAGGACAGTTTGAAACGGGGCCCATGACGAGGCCAGACACGTGATAAAGGGTCACGTGGCGATAAGGATCCGTCTAAAAATTTCCCCGAAAGAAAAAAGGCACTTTGATTCTGCTCAAACTCGTTCGCCATGACAGCTCCAGCTCAGACGCCTGCGCGCGTCCAGAATCTTTCGAAGCTACTCGAGGACCTCACGTCATGCCTCTCCAGCACCGCTTCATCTCTGCCCAAGTCAGGCAAGGATGCGCCGTCCGATGTTTCGATCGAGCCTCCACCAGACGGCATCTCACTACTTGATGCGAAGAGCGAAATTCTCCTTTCCTATATTCACAATCTGGTATTTTTGATCATCTTTCAGCTACGCCAAGCTTCCAAAGATGAAGCACCTGCGGATTCGCCCGATTCTCTGCGGGACGATATCGTGAAGAAACTGGTCGAGCTCCGCGTTTTCCTCGATCGTGGCGTACGTCCTCTCGAGGGACGGTTGAAGTATCAGGTAGACAAAGTGGTCAAGGCTGCAGAGGACGCAGAGCGGTCCGAGCGCGGGACCCAGAAGAGCAAGGGCAAGAAAGCACGTAAATCCGCAGGCTCGGAAAGTGACGAAGCATCCGGGTCCGAGGAGGAGGGTGCCAGTGGCAGCGACGACAGCGAGGATGAGGATAATGAAGACGACATTGACGAGATGGCGCACCGACCTAATATCGCTGCATTCTCCAAGGCGCAGGTGGAAGTGCAACCGACAGCCCAACCAGCCAAGGCCGTCAAACAACCCAGCAACGGCATCTACCGCCCACCGAAGATCATGCCCACAGCTCTTCCCACGACCGAGCGCCGAGAACAACGTGAAGACCGTCGGTCGCGTCGGTCCAACGTTATTGATGAGTTTGTCACCGCCGAGATGTCGTCCGCACCTATGGCAGAGCCCAGCATCGGCAGCACGATTATTGCTGGTGGCCGACAGACCAAATCCAAGAAGGACCGTGAGCACGAAGCTGAGCGAGCCGCATATGAAGAAACCAACTTTGTGCGCTTACCCAAGGAGACCAAGAAACAGCTGGCCAAGCGCCAGGGTGGGAGACGCGATACGACCTTTGGTGGTGACGAGTGGAAGGGCCTCACCGAGGGTGCCGATCGTATTGAACGCCTCACTCGGCGAGCCAAAGGCAGCGGGGCCGCGTTGGACAAGAGTCGCAAGCGCAAGGGCATCGAAGACGGACCGCGCAACGACGGGGCAAGTATGGGCCAGATGTTTGACAAGCGGCGCAAGAAGATCGAGGGGTGGAAGCGATAGAATCATATACAACGGCGTTTATTGGCATAACCCTGCAAAGATTTGTATTTGCTTTTTTAAACAATGGATCATTTCCGAGTATTGCGTCTGGTGCCTCGGTGCCTGATCGGCTTCGTCTCGGCATGCCGAATCGGCTCAAGGCTTCACTCCGGCCGCTGCGCACTAGCAAGATAGAAATGCGTTACCTACAACCCCAACCCCATGAATGATTCGATATTGATCGGTTTCACAAGTGGCCTCAAGCGGCTTTTCCGCTTGCCTCTCTAGGCCGGAACTATTTATATCCTCTGTCTTACACAAATCAAGGACGGCAGGCAGTCACATGTGAAAAACGCGCATGATGTCATCCGCCGATTCGTGAATCTCGCTCTTGCTCAACTCTGCGTCTTCCATCTCCGTGATTACACCTTTTCAGCATGGAGAATCCAGGTCTGTCTGTATTTCTACAGTATCAACAAACGCTGACTAGATCCAACAGCGACCGAGATCTCGGCGGTGATCCGTCTGCTCACCCAATCGCCGCCGTCGCTGCAAGAGAAGACCATCAATCGCTTCTTCACACACAATGCGTCCTTTGTCCACCCATTCTGTCGAGTACCCAGCTTTGAGGGCAGTCGGTGGTATGTAGGGAAGATTTTTCAGTGGTACAAGATTTTGTCGCCCCGTGTTGAGATCGAGGTGCATTCCATCGGTGAGTAGTACCTGACAAGACCCTACCGAGATATCCAGTCATCCTGAGCCCGGCTAGCATTTGACGAGGAGCACCTAAGACTCTATGTGAATCTGTCCCAAATATTCTCAGTCTGGATCGTTCCCTTCCACGTCTCGCCGGTGACGCTCACCACCGTTCTGGACCTGACCACCGATGCGACTCAGAGTGATGCCCCAACGAATGGCAATCACACGCTATACTATATCACGAGGCAGGAGGACCTGTACCAGACTTCGGAGTTTGTCAAGTTCCTTATGCCGCATGTCGGCCACTGGCTCGTTTTCGCCTGGCATCTGATCGCCACGCTCTTCTGCGTTCTGGGCGTTGGTCTCCTGTGGCCGATGCTGTGGCTGGAGGAAAATGGTTATCTGCCGGGACGCATTGCGAAGGGGGGAATGTAGCGTATAACATGCAAAACAAGGTGTCGGAGATTAAGGACCGATGATACTTTACTTGCGTAACGATACAAATGCTTGTTTTGGATTCACTGCTCCATTCGATGACGAATCGCCATCAGTGATCTACGTTCGATTACATAACTATATTCCTTGATAGCTACTTAGGCTTCATTGTCGTTCGTGGGCACCTGATCCTTATTGCGTCTTGTGTTGCTTGCGCAGTTCGTCGCGGAAATGGTCCTCTTGCTTCACGACCATCAATGGCAAGGCACGGCCAATGCCAAAGAACACAAACAGGGCCCACTTCCACCGGAACGGATTGAAGATCAGGACAAAGACGAACCAGTAAATCAGCTCGGCGTAAGTGAAAAAGTCAAACGCGTTGGTTGGCGCCAGTCGTTTCATGAGCCGCGTGAAATCAATCCAGGTCTTCATCCAGCCCTCCGTGGGGCGAGTCAGAGGGTCGGTTAGAAACATGATCAGGAAGCGCGTGTAAATGCCAATGTGCATGTTGCCTACGGTGCCGATAGCACTGACAAACGTGCTGTTGTTGGCACAAATGTCCGGGTACTTGGGTGGAAAGACCTGGAGGTACCAGCTGGGTGGCCCGTATGGCTCTTCAAAGACCTCGTCTGGCAAAAAGGTAAGCGACGGGCGCTTGAAACCGGTTGCCATGACAATCAGGTCTCCAGGAACCAGGCGTTCTTGACCGGGGCCACCCTTGGGCACTTCCTTGGACCGATGGTTGAACAGGATGCCGTCTTTCTCGACCGAGACAATATCGCCACGCAACCAGTGAGCCTTTCCCTCACGAATCTGATCGAACAGTTCCGAGTTGGCCATGGGCGTTTGGGTAAAAATGCCATCGTCCGTTGGAGCAATGTCTTGGAGGTCACGGTAGAAGAATTTGCGCAGCAGCCCCTCGGGAATCCACGAGAGCGAAGTCTCTTGGCCGAAAACGTTTAATGCTAGTAACGACTGCACTAGGACGTTCCGCGGAATGATCCACTTGTCAGACCGGGCGAGCACGTCAATCTCCGCAGCGCGGGACTTGACGGCAAACTCGAGGGCTTCGATGGCACTGGCACCGCCACCGACAATCAATACTTTCTTTCCGGTAGCATCTTTGCCGTCGAGATTGGACGAGTGGCAGATCTGTCCCTCGAACTTCTCCTGGTCGGGAAGCGGAGGCATTTTAGGATCTCCGCACACGCCAACGGCGGCAACAATGCCATCGAACCGACCGTACCGGCCTTCATCGTCATTGATGATCCACTGGCCGTTCTTGGTCTTGTTCACGGAAGTGACACGGGTGTCAAATACGGTGCGTCGTTCTAAATCATAGCGTTTCCAGAGACTGATGATCTGTTCCTGGATCTGCTTCTGGCTGGGATAGGCACTATCGTAGTGCACTGACGGGTGGAAGCGATACATCAGGCTATGCACCTGCAAGGCAGACGTGGAGTTGACCCTCTAGACAGTCTTGTAAGAACATTGACCTCTACTTTGTTTTGCAAGAAACATACGCTCCAAATACCTCCCAGGCCACGGTCCTTGGAGCGGGCCTCGAATATCTGCACATCCAGGCCATGGCCGACACAATGGGCCGCGGAGGAGACGCCAGTCAAACCCGCGCCAATGACCGCGACCCTCTTCCGGGCGACATCCGAATGGCCGGAAGAGGGAGGTGGAGGAACGGGAGAGAAGATGTGGGTGAGGACCGCCTGGAGGATCAAATAGAGCCAGGTGAAGATCTGGACGAAAGGGTGCCGAATGGCACCCATGATTCCGGAGCGGGAGGCGGAGGCTGGCATGGTGCGTGGTGGATGATGTGGTGTGAGGCTGCCATTGTGATAAATTTATATATTATCTGTCGTTGTCAGTGACGTGATGGGAGTGGAGTTGCGCCAGCCTGTTGTCCGGCGGCCGAGATGATGTCATGTGTTGCGAAACAACGGGAACAGAAGTGGCTGCCTCAGGTACCTGGCTGATCCAGGGCGGTGGGGAGAATTCTGCCACGCCGAGAGCCTATCCCATCCCACGCCCAACTGTTGACCATTCATTCCTTCCTCTGGTCACTCTTGAATAACACACCCACTTTTCATCTCACCTCCAGCCCTCGGCCTGGATCGCCTCGTCATGGCGACTCCGGTGCTGGACCAATTCCTCGGCAGTGTCGCCGAACTGGTCCAGAATCGCAATGGCCTCAAACTGCAGGACTTCCTCCAAATCGAACCGCCGCTCTCCGACATCTACATGCGCATGATTGACGAATTACGGCAGCACTACCCCTCAGACCCCCAGAAGGATGTCGAGTTGCTCCGCCGATGTGAGGGCCTGGTGCCACGCTCCAAAGGCAGCTCGTCATGGACGGCCTTCCCGACCTTCCTCAAGCTCTACCTTACGTTCCTGCGCGATGTCAATGTCGATAATCTGCTCGACACATACAATCGCCTAAAAGGACTGCTGAAGTAAGTCCCTCTCTGCCTGATCCCGGCTCATGGAGCCCTCCTGGTACATTGAAGAAGGTTGCGTCCAGTCGCTGACCCTGCTGTGATTGCAGCCAGTGCGTTTTAGCTCTTGGAGATAGTCAAATGGGCATTATCGTTTTGCATACCGTCCTCTACCTGTCCAAAGTGCTGGCGAAACTAGCCATGGGGTTAGACCGCCGACCTGACTTGATTGCGAACACCCTGCGGATGGAGGGCCAGGCGGATCGTGAAGAGAATAATGAAAAGGTGACTTTGGTGGAACAATCAGCCAACGTGGTGCGCGAGGCCTTTATCAAATGCCTCACTGATCGCACGGGTACCCCGGGGCCGCAGGGGAAGCCTGAGGGGAAACGCGTGGGCATCTACCTCATGGCCAATCTGTGTCTGAAACTCCTTTTCCAGTGCGGCAAGCTTCGCAATGCCGAGCAGATGTTCGCCAGTATCAGCGCCCAATCACCTCCTTTGACCTACTTCCCAGCTTCGCAGCGTGTGACTTACCTCTACTACCTGGGTCGCTACCTCTTCTCCAACAACCTCTTCTTTCCCGCGCAGATCGCTCTGCAAGCTGCCTACGACCAGTGCCACCGCCAGGCGGTCAGCCAACGACATCTCATTCTGACCTATTTGATCCCATGTAATATCATCTTGGGTCGCTTTCCATCTCAGACACTCTTGCAAAGATCCGAGGCGCAAGGCCTAGGTGAGCGATTCGGGCCATTGTGCCAATTGATTGCCCGTGGGGACTACATTGCCTTCCGGGAACACCTCTCTGTTCCATCATCGGCTGCCGAATGGTTTGCGCGCAAAGGAATCTTGCTTGCCCTTCGGAATCGTTGCGAGATTCTGGTATGGCGTTCGTTTGCTCGCAAAGTTTTCATCCTGGGTGGTTTTCACGGGGATCCGCAGGCGCAGGCGCAGCGTGGTCCCCCGCCATTTCTCTATCTCGAGAAACTCGTTGTCGCGACCGAATGGCTTCAGTCGCAGCACGGCCGGCCATCGAACGATACCTCGGTGGGTCGCAAGTCGTACGGATCACAAGTTATCTCTACACCAATAGACCCGGATTATGATGGGCTTACGGATTCGAACGGGGCATCTACAGACTCCGAGTTGCTCGAAAAGTATGGCGACTTTCTCGCGCCGGATGGGTTCTTCGACGAGAGAGGCCAATGGCGGGAGAATATCCCCGGTCAGCTGGTGGACGGTGACCCAGACCCAGATTATGAAGGATACCAACTGGACCCGTACTCGGTGTACGATGCCGCAGACCAATCATCTCTCATCATGCAGGAAATTGAGTCGATTCTGGCCTCCCTCCTGACACAAGGGCTGATGCGCGGATATTTGACCCACCGCAAGCCTCGTTTTGCTATACCCGGTGCCCGCTTACGGGGTGCGCTGCCCACGGGTTTTCCCAACGTGTGGCAGACGATATCGGCGCGAGAGAGCGAAGATTCCAGTGTACCAGGGTGGGTCCAGCCACCGGCTCCCACGGCATTTGGCGCCTCAGCAGCACTAGCCGGGGGTAGTCGGGTGGTCAATCTCAAGGGGGCGCGTCCCGTGGGGGTTCAATAAAGCATGGGAAGCAAATATGTTGTTTTTTTGGGGGGGGAGGGGGGTTATTATTGAGATTTTTTGATACCTCTTAGCATAATTAACGGAGTTGGATTTGGACTTCACTAGGGTTCTTCTACATGTACTTGTATATATATTTTCGCGGCCAGACAGATGGTAAAACATTCACTCTCGCTACTCTGCCGAGTGCACCCTGACCCGCTCCCCAATCCAGAACAGCACGAGCAACGGGATCAAGGCCGCGGCGTTAATGGCGGCCAGTGTAGAAAAGGCAGCGGTGTATCCAACCTTGGCCGAGAATGGCAAGGCGTAGAAACCAACGTTGAAAGCATAAACTAAGAATCATAGATCAGTGATCAGACATACCGAGTCCTGGAATCATACTTACCGCACTTGAAGAAATTCAGGATTGCTCCGATCTCACTCGACTGCGCCTTGTAACTATCCGTGCAGTAGGTATACACCATGGTTGTCGCAACCTGCGTGCCAAACCCGGAAACAGCCATACAGATCGACGACTGGATCCACGGAAGTGAACTCTGAACGCAGAAGCCATATGTGGCAGTTCCAATACACAGAAACGTGCATAGAGGCATCAGAAACAGCCGGGCCTCGGGCTTCTGGTACCCATGATGTCTCTTGGCGTACAGGGCGAGAATAAGATCACTGACCCAGCCAGCAGAAGCTTCGCCCAACATGCAGCCGATAGTCAGAGGCACCCCCATGAAAAGGCCGATCTGCGCAACGTTGAATTCATATATGGTGGCAGCAATATGCGACCCCGTAACCGCAAAGAGCGCGCTACCATAGGTGTTGACGGTAGAGAAGTAGATGGCGGGCAGGGTCACTGGCGCATACTGAAGAAGCTTGAAGGGTCTCAAGAACTGCCACCGCTCAATGGGTCGGTCAAGGACTTTGCCCCAAAACATGAGACGACCTCGATAGGACTTGTTCTTCAGACGGTTGGTGTCGTCATTCACGTACAGAGTCTCGGGAAGCGTAAGAATTGACAGGATAAAGACCACGCCCTGGAAGATGGCAGGAACCCAGAAGCACCAACGCCAGCCCAGACGTTGTGTGATATAACCGCCGGCAATGGGTGCGATATGGGGACCATTCGTCACGCTAACAGTGTAGAGGCCAACCCAGAGACCTCTTTCTTGTTGCCGGAATAGGTCACAGATCTAAACTCGGATTAGTAGGGTGATGTAGCAGAGGAGAGAGCGAACCCCACTGTCGCGACTCCAACCCCCAACGGAATACCTGATCCGATGCCATTGATGATACGGCCAACGACGACGCCTCCATATCCTGGCGAAGCTGCGGACACCACCGCACCTACGGTAGCGATTGCCGAAAACACCTTGTGAGGGATGTCAGCAAATTTTCATTATCAGCGGCTGAAAGAAACATACCACGAAGAGGACTCGTCGGCCATAGGTGTTTGCGTAAGGAACAACAAACATTGGAGCCAAGCCACTAAAAACGATGAAAATAGTCGTACAGTAGGAGCTTTGTTCGATCGTGATCTTGAGATCCTCCGACATTTCGACATAACCAGGGTTGATAAGAGCAGAACCAACTACAAAAGGTTAATTTATTAGCCTTAACCCCTGACGAAGACGACTTGTGCTACCAGGAAAACTCACATTGGGCCAAGAATCCGAGGACTGCCATAAGCAATGCTATATAGACCTTTCGCCATCGGGGCCAGTTCTAGGGGCATGTTTCAGCACATCACTGCCTAACAGGGGGACACCAGATAGAGCTCTCACGAGAGGGTTGTCGGCGTCATCTAGTGTCTCGTCATACAAAGGCTCGTCCAGAGCATAGCTCTTAGTAGCTGAGGTTGGACTGTCTGGTCTGGTCATAGTGGGTGCGAGGATAGAACGTTAGTAAGAGCGTTGTCTAGAGCTGTCTGTCGTGACAGAGCCTTCGGCTTTTATTAATTCTTCCTCCAGGATTCCTGGTGGCCGGGGACTTAGATTCGGCCTAGCAACCTACCCTAGCTCCCCGCATAGATCCATGCGCCAAAAACTACGAGGTAAAATTTTGAGCGGGCCAATCAAAAACCGCACTAGCGGCGTTCGGGGACAGGTCGGGACTTAATACTTTATCCGGGAATCCAAGAATCCGGGGAGCCGGGGGAGGGGCTTGGTGGGGTTTAAAAGGATGTTTCTGCCATTTTTTTACCCCTGATACTTGTCAGAATTGCCTGGATACTCATCATGTCTTCTGACGCAGCTATACTCCAAGAGCACTACCGGAAATTTATTACAGGATGCCACATTCTGCACTACCAGGAGTATGCATGGCACGATTCCATTTATAACTACATCTAACGATGATCTCTTAGTGTCTTGGACGCCTATGGCCATCTTTCCTTCCGGCATCCGCAAAAACCTGACGTGTTTATCATGTCCCAGTACATTGCGCCTGCACTGGTTTCCTCGAAGGATGATCTGATTGAGTACTGGGTCAAGGATGCTGAGCCCGTGGACCCGACCCGAGGCAAGGGCTACTCGGAGAGATGCATTCACAGTGAGCTTTACAAAAAGTATCCAGGTGTGAAGAGCGTCATCCACAGCCATTCGGAGGCTGTTGTTCCATACACGATTTCTGGAGTCCCAATGCGTGCATGTTGCCATATGGGAGGGTTTGTGGGTATGTACTGGCCTCGAAAAGAAAAAGAAAAGAAAAAGTTTAAAAAGCTCTCTAGGAACCCAGACGCCTAACTTCGATATCGCCCACCATCTCAAGCCGACCGACAAGAAAGACCTGCTAGTCCGGAATACTCATCTTGGTGGTGCTCTGGCTTCACACTTTTCCACTGGTGATTCGTCAACCCCGGAACATGCCGTAGTACTCATGCGCGGCCATGGCTTTACTGTGCAGGGTGAAAGCATTGAGGAAGCCGTTCTGCGGGCTGTCTATACCCAGAAAAACGCCAGCATCCAGACAACCGCACTCTTGACTCGCGCGGCTCATGCGAACGGACGATTTTCTTCTGTCCCTGAGATCAAATACCTTGATGAAGGAGAGATCCAAGGAGCTACACTGATGACACAAGAGTCCGTATATAGACCCTGGGGGCTATGGGTCAAGGAGGTGGAATCCCATTCATTCTATGTGAATAAGGAGGTTCAGTGACGCCTGCAGTAGCCATAGATATAAAATGGATTTCGTAAATGAGAGGTAGTACTCGCTTAGCATGTGGTCTACGTAGAGCAGTTGGAGTGGCATGTTCAAATGGTGCTTCTTAGGCATGACGAAACCTATATTTCGCGTCTTTTCCTCAAACTCACCTCAACTACTCCGGCGTGTCGAAAACTCTAGAAGAAAATTTATTTTTTTTACTTAGGTGTGAGCTAGCTCACGAGTGCATTTCTAGTAGTTACCGACATTGTTGGATTCAATCTGCCGGTTTTCCATGCACGATGTACTACGTAGTATAGATATTCTTGGAACGGTGGAGGCGGCCCCAGCGGGCCCGATCTCCCGGTTCCCCCCTGATTTCATGCCTCGAACTCCAATCTCCGTCAATGGACCATCGCGACGCCGTGCAGCAAGTGGCAACGCGTGTTGCTGACTTCCACCGCCGCCGCCAGCCATTTCGCATCTATCATGGTGCGACCAACTCCACACGCCCGTCTGGCCACGCCGCGTCCAATACTGTGAGCACCGCTGCTTTGACGCGTGTCTTGGAGGTCGATGGAACGCGTCAGACAGCTCTCGTTGAGCCCAATGTCCCCATGGATGCCCTCGTGGCAGCCACTCGAGCACACGACCTGGTCCCGCTAGTTGTCATGGAGTTTCCCGGCATCACTGCTGGCGGCGGTTTCTCCGGCACGTCTGGGGAGAGCAGCTCATTTCGCGAAGGGTTCTTTGACAATACCGTCAATTGGATTGAGATGGTTCAGGCGGACGGGCAGGTTGTGAAAGCGTATAATGATCGCGCTGCTGCAGAATCCGAGATCCAGGACGCCCGATCCGATCTATTCTGGGGCGCAGCGTCCTCATTCGGCACCCTGGGTGTCGTGACACTCCTAGAGATCCGCTTGAAAAAGGCTTATCCCTTAGTGGAACTCCAGTATTACGCGGCCGCCGATATGGGGGCTGCTCTGCGCATTTTCCGGGAGGCCGCAGCAGATCCAGCCACGGAGTACTTGGACGGCATTGTGTATGCGCGGGACCACATTGTAGTCTGTGCAGGGCGGCAAACGGAGCAGGCATCCGCATCCCAATTGCAGCACTTTGCCGGAAGACACGATGATTGGTTCTACCTGCACGCTCAACGCATTGCCCCGAAGCCACTCGGCCACCAGCCGGCCCCGGCCCCGGTGGTGGAGTACATCCCATTGACCGATTATCTGTTTCGCTATGACCGCGGGGGTTTTTGGGTCGGCCGCTATGCCTACCGCTATTTCCGCGTGCCGTTCACCTCTGTCACGCGTTCCCTGCTTGACCGGTTTATGCACACTCGGGTCATGTACCATGCCCTCCATGTCAGTGGCCTTTCCCGTCGGTATATCATCCAAGATGTCGGAGTGCCCGTTCCTGCAGCCGCAGAGTTTCTGGATTGGCTGGACTGCCCCGAGAACTTTGGGCAGTACCCGATCTGGCTGTGTCCACTCCCCGCTGGCAGCGCGGGAGGGCTGATAGGACAGACGATTAACGCGAGCCCCCACCAGGATCAGACAGCCCTGATGAACTTCGGGGTCTGGGGTCCCGCCACTACAGCGGATCCGAGCCGGTTCAGGTCTCAGAATCGCCGACTCGAGCAGAAAGTGCAGGATCTACGAGGGAAGAAGTGGCTGTATGCGCACACGTACTACACAGAGGAAGAGTTCTGGGCCATCTACAATAAGGCCGAGTACGATGCCCTACGCCACAAGTATGCCGCAGAGTACCTGCCGAGCTTGTACGACAAAGTGCGCGTGCAGGAGGCGGATCTGCCCGGCGCTGGGCGCGGGAAGTTCGAGGCCGGATGGAGGGGGGCTGTTAAACGGACTCTGTGGGACGTCTGGCCCTGCAGTGGATTGTACGGGGCGTACAAAGCATGGCGCGGAGGGGATTATCTCTTACAGAAAGAAAGCCCTGATCAGGGAGACCCGCCGAGGTAGAGAAGCATCGAGAAACTGTACATAACCATTGGATGTGAGTATATCTTGACCATATAAACGCATTTCCGTCGTGAGCCCCAACGCCAGAGGGCATCCTTGCCTCACATGCAAAAGATCCAAAAATAATCCCGAACATGAAACATCGCCGTCTCACTCCACCACAATCCGCCCTTCCAAACGGGGCGAGATTCCTGATGTCCAAGCAGGCGTAAACTCGCCTTCACCATCCATTGGATCTAGTGTCGTTGGCTGCAGCCCGGCATGGCGCATCCATTTGCGTACCACTCGCCGCGCCAGCTGCAGTCGATATTCCTCCTCCGCAGATGATCGCGCAGGCAGGGTGACATAGTTGATCGTTGGTCGTGGTGACGTGAGAATTTCCGGGTCTTCGTCCGAGTCTGAGTCCATGGCATCGCCATTGGTCCCGTTGGCCGCTGGCACTGCCATATCAGCCTTGTCGTCGTTCGGGAATCTCCCATAATAGTAAGCACCCTTAGACGTCCTGCGCAAAGTTGGCCGACAGCCCAGTCGTCGGCCTGGCTTCTCGGACACGGGCGATGACATCGCGGAAGGTGGTTTCAGCCAGCCTTCGCCATGCAGGTTACGGTGCACGGAGCCCCAGTGTCGTTTGAGACTCGCACTCCAGCGGTGCCATTTGCCAAGCACCTTGAGACTCAGGAAATACTGGCGCAGAATCGTACTGATCAGCACGCCGTTTTCCTCGCATACGATCTCTTCTACCTCACCTCCCTCGGCCTGAACCAGCAGAGATGAGAATCCGTCCTTGCCACGCGCCATGTACCCACGCGTGGCCAAGACGTAATTTCGTTGTAGGTGAATGGGCTCGCCTCCGATGCGGGCGAACGTGATGCGTGAACCTGGAGGAGCCGACAGCGTATAGCCAAAGGCAATGTTTGATACCTGTGGGAATCGTCCCTCGAGTGCGGGAAGTTCGCTCACTCCGTTTTCGAGCGCGTCTAGGATCGCCTGGCCCCGCAAGCGCAGTAAGACCACCGGGTCTTCGAAAGGGAAGCAATTCAGGAGGTCTTTAAGCCGCAAAATACCCGGTGGGTAGATCTGGTCGCCGCGGATGGTGCCACCGGCCATCATCGCGCAGTCTGCTGCATGATAGAAACGCATCAAGTCGCAAACAAAATTGCCAAGGTTGGACTCGCGCTGCCGCACAGTTGTAAAACGGCCATCAAGAGGGGTGACGGTATACCCGACCGGTTTCTCCAGCTTCGCCTGCAGGCTAGATGTGAGCCGGGAGACCATGGCCACCGAGGCGGGGTCTTCGGGGATCGAGTGAACCACATCCCGACGGACGATATTGAAGTCCCATCCAGACTCCCCGTCTGATTTTCGGAAGACCTCAATGTAGCTCAACTGCTTGAAATCGGTTCCCGAACGCAGAACGTGAGTACCGTTGACGACAGTATGGGCATAAAAGTGATCATGCCCGCCAAGGATGATATCGACAAGACCAGAGGGCAGGTTCCTCGCCAGTTTGAGGTCGTTGGGTTCCCGTTGGTGAGTGACGACGACGATAAGGTCCGCCCCCTGTTCTCGAAGAGCTGGTGCGAGCTCTCGGGCAGTCTGAGAGGCAGATTGGTAGATCAAATCCGGGGGAAGGACGTTAATGGTCCCAAGCCTGGCAACATATGAGTATTTCATGCTCCTCAGAAGGTCACCACAAGGCCCACTGACCATTCTCTTTCTCCGAGTCCAATCACGCCAACCTTGAGTCCATTTGACGATGTTAACATGCACGTCTTGCCACAGTCGGCGATTGGAACGCCTTGCCCCAATGCCGGATCGAGGACATTGGCCAGTAGCCAGGGGAAATGACACTGGCTTGATAGATGCCGGAATTGGGTCACGCCGAAATCGAGATCATGGTTCTGGGGATGTTAGCGCGGACTGATAGACATCCCGATGGATCCGGACGGTCGCCATACTCACACCCACACACGCCACACTGGTGCCTACTTTATTCAGAAACGGGACCATGTGTCTGCCCTTGGTAATAGTGCTTTCGAGGCTCGGGTTGAAGGCATCGCCGGAGAAAAACGTCAGGATGTCGGGTTGCCCCGCGAACCGAGGATGTGATCGGTAGTAGTTCACGAGGGATTGGAAACGAGAGACACCACCGACGGGTTCTGCAGACCCAGATCTACGAGAGACAATTAGAAAAGGCCCGCGTCGTGACAGGGGTGTGTGGTGGTGATGGTGAGGCGCAAAGCGCACATACTCGACATGGTAGACATCATTGTAGTGGATCAGCCGCAGATCCGGGGAGCCAGTTCGGTCGGAGGCATACGTGACGGAGAGACCGTCGGCGTCAATGCAGGACATGGAATTGCAACTCACGGGGGGCGGAGGGAAGGAGAGAGCCAAAGGAGAGGGAAGAGAGAAAGTTAGAAGAAGGGAATAGGAAGGAGACCGAGGAAAGAATGGCAGAATTGAAGGAATGGAGGGACAAACATGCGGCCTAAGAAATCAGGTGTCTTCTACAGTCCACTATAGAATCATGCCATGCCAAATCCATCAATCAATGGTCGAACAAACGCCTCACGCCATGCAAATAAAGAGGTATCCCCACAAATATAAGCTAAGAAGTGCAATAGAAAGATGAAAAGCGCTGCCATCACAGCTTCTGTTCCGCTACCGTCCACCGGCGCTTCATCCCCGTGTCGCGGTCTTCTAGGGCCGGCGCACTCCCCCACAGGCCCCGCTGAGAGAGCGTACGCTGCGGTAATTGCTGGGCCCATCTGGAGTCACCGGTCAGCTCGGAGCCATGGGAGCCCTGGCTCGCGGTTCGCGGATCACCAAAATTGGGCACAAAGTCATCTTCGGTGTCGTCCACTTTATCGGCCGGCGATGAAATAGAACCCCAAAGGCCTGACGCACCCCGTGGACCAGTCAATGGGTGCGATGCAAGAGCCCAGCCGCGGGGGCTGCTGGCGGACCCCGTTGACCCGATCGTGAATGCGCCCGGAAGGGGGATGGGCGGGAGCCCAGACGGTTGCGATATGTCGGAATCGGAGGTGGCGAGAGTGGATGCTGGGGAGCGGATGGAGACGCTAGCGATGCAATCTGGGACGGGTTGACGCCCGGACGCAGGTGATCGGTTGACGCCATGAGCTGCAGGACATATTCCTGTGCGACCGACCCATCCTTCCGGGGACGGCTGGACGAATCACTGGCACTGTCCGACGTGGAGGAAGGTCGGTCAACCCCTCGGTCCCGGCGCACTGCCATGGTGAGCGAGGCCGTCCCGATATCGAGAAAGGCCGAGTGGCCGCTCAGCGAGCTGATCAAGGCATTACAGTCAGCGCCGTGGGTAACAATGACTAGAACCGTTTGTGGCTCAGGCTGGGCTTGAACGTCATGGGTTGACTGCGAATAATGCGACAGATTGGAAGCGGACGGCGGGTGCTCTGGGTACCAGTCCACCATCCGTTTAAAACCGGCGTGTACTCGTTCATGCATCGTGCTCCACTCCTCCCCGTACTCACCACCGGTGCCCCAACTCTGCGGCGGGCGCATACTGTCCCATTGGTAATCTATTTGGGTGCAAGCGTCTCGTGCATGCGTAACATACCCTATCGGTATTGGGTCCGACGCGGAGACGGCGTAGCCAGGTGTCGGGGGCACGTACCCGCCATCGACAGAAGGCGACAGATCCGTATTGATGCGACTCAGCGTACTCTTACCGCGGGCCGTCTCTATGGGGCTTCGCAGAGTATCATAGGTGCTGGCACGCTGTCGCGGGCCTTGCTGGGACAAGGACTGAGAAGCCCCGTGGCCCGTCAAGCGGTGGCCATCGTCGTCACTAGCCGGAGAGATGGGATTTGAGTGATTGCTCCAGCCTCCGGGAAAATGCCCTGAGGATGAACGAGCGGATCTATCGACCGCGGCCGTGATGCCTTCGCCGCGACGCAGCAGTTCTGCCTTGGCGGCCGCAACCATGCGCTCGGAGCTGGGGGGTGGTGTGATGTGCTCGAAATAATCCGGAGAGAGCCACTCGCCAAGAACAGCGTCCACCCGCAGGAGACAGCGAGGACTGACGGGAATGGTCTCCGCGGGTCCAGGAGTCGGGCTGGTCACTCCTGGAGTGTCACCACCCGGGCGATGCTGGTGAATGCCGGCACTGAGCGCGATGGCCGTTTGGAGACATCGCAAATACGGAGACGTGTGAATGACGATTCTGTATCGGTGGGACAAGGCCGATGGGGACGGCACCGGTTTGGAAGTCGACTGGGCCGAGGTCGGAGGACTGCCCGAGGGCTCTACGCCTGTGAATTCACGAGCTTGCAAGAGGCTCGCAATCCGAGCGCCGAGAGCGCGAGACTGAATCCAGCCACCGTAGGAGAGAGGCGGATCGTAGGGTGTTGGGGAGGTGAGATGCCAGTCCTTGTCCGCGGCATCAAGACGCGCGCCATGCCTAGTGGGGTGTCAGGTCATTCAGTGTCTGCAAGGCACCGGGGAGGAGATAGCTATGCGCAGTACCTGGCGATGAACACGATTGGCGGTGATTTATCCATTGCGAAAAAGGTCTCCTCGGCTGCTGACAGCTGTGACGTGCTGCTGTAAAGCAGTGACGTGCTCTTGCAAATAATGTCTTGGAAGGAGGAAGAGAGGGGCATATGCCGAGTCGAATGATAGACTGCAGAAATTCACACTAGCTGTAGGGTCGCAGACAGACAGACAAAGGCAGCGCCAGCAAGGCCCGTCAGTCGGGCAGCAAGACAGTCATCATTATTGCCGGAAACGCCATGTCAGAACGAGAAAGAGAAGAAAAGGAAGAGGAAGAGCATGTGATGGATGGGCTTAGGTAAGACGAGGGATTGATCACCTGATGGCGCCGAAGTATACCCGAAGTATAAACTACGACGACGTATAAAGGACACCGGTTAACACCTTTGCCATAATATCAACCTGTACATACTGATCACCACGAGCAGAACTTATCCTCATTTCTGCCTCGGGCGATCAGGCACCGCCACCATCAAGGATCGGCTGCATCCCTCGTTGCCCTACGGTCAACTACTCCATCTCCTGGGATCTGCGGGGACAGTGGAAACGCATGTCAATGACGTTGGATGCAATACCCTGCGTAATACTTATATCACATATGGGCATTGTATTTGGCTGCCTTGGCTGGGTAGGTTGCTTTGCTTCATGTTGGTGAGCTGGAGACAGACAGGTCCGTAACAAGCCCCGAGGTGGTTATGACTCGTGACTATATGATGTCTTAATTTGATCCTATGAAACTAAGGAACAGATGTTTTGGTTTTCAACGGACGTCCCGAATAGCGTGTTTGGTCTACCCTTGACCGGTTTCCGGTTTGCCATGTGGATCAAGGGGCGTGGGAGTTAGCCCTAGATGGAATGCGTGTGTCACTGAGTACGGAGGGACACGGCACTCGCATTCCACTGACATCAACTTGTATCTGTATCAATGCCCTTGGGTGGGGATTTTGCCTGATTTGCGAACCCTGTCCTGCTTCTCACCACTCCTTGGCCTGCTCTGATATCATGATTGTCGTGTCCTCCACCACCACAGAGAGATTCAGTAATGGATCGACCCCTTCTGACATGATCGTCCCGCAGGAAAGGGTCTTCCAAAGGGAGCTCCTTAGTCTCCAAAAAGTATATAAAGAGGTTGTCCAGCGCCTTTCCCTTTTCCTCATCTCCGAATTCTCAAAGACATATCGGAATACTGGCTCTCCGAAATACTCCTCTTCACGTTTTACTTTTCGACTACTTCATCATGCACCTAGGACTGTTCTGTTCCCTGTTCGTCGGCGCCGCAGTTGCTCTGCCTCATGGGCCAAGCCCGACGCAGCACAGCTCGGCGAGCACAATGATTCATCCCACAAATTTTTATCCACGAGTAAGAAAGCCCATGAATGTAGGCTTGTTTGTCCACTGACCACAAAAATACTAGGATATGGAGCATCCTATGTCCTCATCCACGATGATGTCAATGCCCATGAAGCGTACCACCATGCCCGCCATGCAGGTCACCCCCACCAGCTCGATGCGCGCGGAGAAATACATGTTTCCGTAAGGATCACTCATGCTGATTGAAGTTTGAAAGAAAGAATGCTCATGTTTGGGTCAGGTACTAAGTTATCAGATGAGACCAGACTTAAGGATTGGAGGATGAAGGCTTGAGTCGACCGGGTGTCTGGAACCAAGTTGACTGATATGTCCGTCGATATGTTACTTATGTTACCATCGGAATTTATGAATGAATTTTTTTGATTGGACGTCTTTATTTTCTAGCCTTTTGTCTAGCCTGTCTATCATGCTGGTTTTGATAGCTCGCCAAAATAAACATCTAACCCATAAAGAAACCTACAGTACACCATGCTCAAGCAGTAGACTCCAACGCACCCCAACCGCCGCCGCCCGCCGTCATAATGACAACCCGGTCGTGGATATTCACAGCTACCGTGTTCTTACCACCGATATTGATCCGGCGCTCCTCGCCCGTCTCAGGGTCTCGCGAGATCCACAGGTTCAGACCTGGCTGAGCGTCCTGGCCTCCCTCCAATCCATAAGGTCGGTGCACACGCCGCTCCGACAGAATTGAACATTGCATGGGCGCAAGGAATTCGATGTCTCGTACCACACCCTCGCCGCCAGGATTCTTGCCCTGGCCGCCCGAACCCTCGCGCAGAGTAAACTGCCGCAGCATGGTCGGGTAGCGCTTCTCCAGGATCTCTGGGTCCGTAATGCGCGTGTTGGTCATATGGACATGAATTCCAGACTCACCTTTCCAGGATGGACCAGCGCCGCTGCCACCTGCAATGGTTTCGTAGTATCCAAATCCGGGGGTGATCACCGCGCCTGTTGCAGGGTCGACCTTTGGATCGGTGCCGAAGGTCAAGTTGTTGCAGCAGCCCTGGGATGCAGCACAGGCTCGGAAGGCCTTGAGCACGACATCCGTGATACGCTGCGATGTCACCACATTGCCACCCACTACAGCAGCAGTCTTTGTGGGAGACAAAATGCTGGGCGATGGAACACGTATATCAATGGGCGCCAGACACCCCTGGTTCAGCGGCACATCGGCATTGATCAAGCACCGCAGGCAGTAGATGATTGCTGAGTGCGTGATAGCAATAGGTGCGTTCCAGCTGCCGTACACCTCGGGGCCGGTACCGTCAAAGTCAAAGACGGCCGATCCGTTGGAGCCGTCGATGGTGATCTTGAGCTTGATAGGGGTTCCATCATCCATGTAGTCAACCGCCTCCAATGGCTGCCCATCAAACTTCTGATGCAAGCCCTTGAGCAGATCGCGCACGGCTGTCTCAGCTGTCGCCTGGATGGCGTACATGTACTTCTGCACGGTTTCCACCCCATATTCGGTAAATAGTCCTTGGATCAAGCTGATGCCGCGCGTGTTGGCAGCGATCTGCGCTTTGAGATCCGACAAGTTGTCGCTGATGCATCGTGCGCCAGCGCAGCCGGGATACTGGGCGGGCTTTGTAACAAGCAACTCGATCAGACGCGCCTCATCTAGAACGCCGTTGCTGACAATCTTGTCACCTTCGATGGCAGCCCCTTCTTGCCACAGCTCGGTGGACTTGGGTGGCATCGATCCGGGCAGGATCCCGCCAATGTCAGCATGATGGCCGCGAGAGGCCACATAGAACATGATCTCGGTTCCCCCGGGCCGGTCAAACACCGGTGTAATGACCTAAAAAGACAGAATCAGCCATCGAAGTTAAAGCGGCACTAGATTATCTCCTACCGTGATATCGGGCAAGTGAGTTCCACCGCAGCTAGGATGGTTGGCAACCAGCACATCTCCATCTTTCAATTTACTCAGCCATTTCTGGTGTTGGTAGCGCACCGCAAACTGCATGGACCCCAGATGCACAGGGACATGGGGTGCATTGGCCACAAGTCCTCCATCGGGAGAGAACAAGGCGCACGAGAAATCCAAACGCTCCTTGATGTTGGTGGAAACCGATGTCTTTTGAAGTGTGCGGCCCATCTGCTCAGCGATGGACATAAAACGATGACCAAAAATGCTGAGGCGGATAGGATCAACCACAGATGAGACGAGAGCTTCGGCAGGAGCGGTGGTCGGCTCGTCCTTCAGGTCGACAACAATGCATGTGTCCAGCAAGTTCGCCACCGAGTTGGGAGCAACAACAATCGTCTGCGTCTTATCGATGATGACAGCCGGGCCAGTGATGCGGGTGTGTTTCTCTAGCTGATCAAGAAGATAGACAGGGGTGATGACCCGACTGGGGAAGCCGTCGAAGTAGGCCGAGGTGGTGTTAGCGGGTGCCATTGTGACATCCTGCATGTTGGCCTCCTTCAACTGAACCAGTGGGCTCCGCTCTGTGCGAACTTTAGAAGAGGATATGGTGCGGACACGGATATCGTCCACCAGAACCGGCCGATCAGAATTGAAGTTGAATTCTCGACGATGGCGGACACGGAACTCGTCGAGAAAGTCCGACGAAGTCTCTGGCCGCAGGATCATCAAACTCGTGTCCGAACCCTCATACCGCATATTGAGGTACTGCTCGTGGCGCACTTGATCAGGCAAAAATCCTTGAGTTTGCATCTCCTTTGTTGCGACAGCCGCCATTCCGTCCAAGCGCTGGAGCAGATTGGAGTGAGAGGTCAGATAGTCAGACGACACTGGTTCTTGGGACTCCTTGACGACCTCTGCCAGTGCCAACCCGTAGGCCGACAGGACCGACGAATACCTGTGGATGATGATGCGTGAAATTCCCAGGGAGGCGGCAACAGAGCATGCATGTTGTCCACCAGCGCCGCCAAAGCAAGACAGGTGGTGAGATGCGGTTTCAAAGCCGCGAGCTTCGGTAAGGTTGCGGATGGGCCGAGCCATGGACTCGTCGGCGACCTTTAGGAATCCCAATGCCACTTCCTCGGGGGTGTATTGCGCCTGGAAGTGGCGTCGGCGTTCGTCGTTGATCTTCTGGGTCAAATCGTTGAAGAGTCGAGCGGTTGTCTCAATATCCAGAGGCTGATCTTCGTTGGGACCAAAGATGTGAGGGAAATACTCTGGCAGCAGTCGGCCCAGGAAGAGATTGGCGTCCGTTACCGTCAATGGACCGCCCTTCCGGTAGCATGCGGGACCAGGATGCGCGCCGGCCGACTCAGGGCCAACATAAAAGAGGCCATTGCGCCATGCTAGGATAGAACCGCCTCCGGCAGCCACGGTGTTGATATCAAGCTGGGGCGACTGGATTAAGACGCCGGCAACTTTCGATCCAAAGACGTGTTCCAAGTGACCGTCGAAGCGCGACACATCGGTGGAAGTGCCACCCATGTCGAACCCAATTACCGGGGTTCGCTCAGCGGGATCATAACTCGTGGCAGCGAAGCCCACCACGCCGGCTGCGGGACCAGACAGGATCGCCTTCAGCCCACTGAATTTGCGAAAGTCGACCAGTCCTCCATCGGACTGCATGAATTCAAAGCGACAGTCTTGTTGGTTTTCCAGTCCCCCTTCAAAGCTAGAATTAATCGAGTCGATATAGGTCTTGATGACGGGGGTGAGGTACGCATCTGCGGCCGCGGACATGCCTCGCGGCACAATCTTGATCATGGGTTGCAGCTTGGAAGATAGAGTGACGGAGAAGCCCATCTGCTCTGCGACTTCTCCGATCTGGCGTTCGTGATCTGGATAGGCGAACGAATGGAGGAGGGCCACCGAAAGAGACTGGTACCCCTGCTCTTTTAATCGCTGGAGCTCCGTCCGCACCTGCGCAAGGTCGAGTTCTTGCACGACACGGAACTTCTCCCCGGTCACACCCTCCACAATTCGTGCTCCAGAAAAGCAATCACTATCGGCAGCAGGGTGGCAGGGGACGACTCGCTCGTTGACCTCCACTACGCCTTCTGGCAGCACTCCCGGGCGAGCCATGGACAGATCAAAGATGGCCGGTCGCGACTGGTCGCCAATCTTGAGTAAATCTCGGAAGCCTTTCGTGGTGAACAGCACCGAGCGGGCTCCCTTGCGCTCTAGAAGGGCATTGGTCGCAACTGTAGTGCCCATTCGAAGACAGCCGATGCGGTCGAGTTTCAGTGGCCGGCCACGCGGGTGTGGGGTTCCCGTAGCCAGCTCAATAATCTGGCGGATGCCTTCGGTAGGTGCATCCTGGTAGTGTGAGGGATCCACGGACAGGAGCTTTAAGATGATGTCTGGACGGCCCGGAACAATAGCATGAACGTCTGTGAACGTACCTCCCCGGTCAATGGAGATGGTGATTTTGTCGGAGTCCGCCATGACTGATAGGGAGAGACAGAGAAACGCGGGGTGGATAAACCCGGTAGTTATGCGGGAGCCCGTTCATATATAACCAATTCGCACCCAATGTGATCTACGGTGGGTGTACTATGATCGAGGCCGGTCACGTGTCGGCCCGATGCCCTCGGTAGCCGGCCCGGCAGGTAGTATATCGGGAAGAGCGGCCGAGGGGGAGGATGACGATGAATGAATGGAAGATGAATAAATCAATCGGCTATAACTATATCAAGGGCTGTCATGCTTAAGTATTCATATCTCATTTCATTGTTGCAGCTATCATAGTCTATCGTCGTAGCGTATTCTCAATCCACTCCGCATCCATGTCAATGTCAATCTGATCCAGCGCGCCTTCCCAGAGTGCTGGGTCATCATTGGGGTCAAACTGGAAGGAGATGTCGTTGAACGACGGGAGTCCCGGCACCGGCCATTCGGTGGGAGGGACTGGGGACGGCACTCGGTCGCCCACCAGACTTGCCGGCTGCTCACTCTTGGGCGTCGCGGGGGCTTCGGGGACCGGAGGACTGGTGGATTCGGCTGCAGCCGCCACGGATTTGGGCTCGATGGACGCCCGGAGTTCCAGCAACAAGGAGTGCCGCGAGCCAAGATAGGTATTCCCGCGATCTGCCATGCCGCGAAGGAGATTCAGCGCGGTTTCCATCGCCCGCGCATTGGTGTCATCGTGTGGGAACGCCGCGTTCACCATGACCAACAACAGCGCCGCCGAGAAGATGTACTCTCCGTCGAGGTAACCATAAGTCGCTAGGAGATTGAGTCAATGGGAACAGGTCTCTCACGGGTGCTCCATCTACTTACCAACCAAATTGTGCTTCGCTGCCGCCTCTATGATCGAAGTCGTGGCCCGAGCAGCTGAAATGCAGCTATCAATGACGGCGACGGTGTTCGGGGCCAGCCCGTCTTTCCAGTCTTCGGTGGATGAGCCCATCATACCCGCATCCAGTCGACGCTGGATGATATAGAAAACGAGCGGCCGCGCGGTCATGTTGACGCAGGAATAAAAGTGCAAGTTGATTGACACTGCTTCCCGGCTGATGTGCAAGTCGAGTGCGGAGAAATCGATGCGCAGACCATTCGGTACCTTTCGCAGCCAGCTAGAGAGGTCATTGGTGATACTTTGAACGGAAGCGATCAAATTGGACCCGGACCGAGGCTTTTTACGGTAGATCTCTAAATGGTTCAACCCGTCAGCATCGGCACAGAGATAACCCGTAGATATGCAAACCTTCTCCGATTCGGCCTAGAATGCGAGAGAGCTGGGTATAGTGAGTCAAGACGATTGATGGCCATGGGTCGGATGTCATTCCGTCCTGTAAAGATATCAGAAACGGAACTCAAGGATAGCCTCGTAATGACCCACTACTGTCACAGGCCATGTGGTGCCGATATCTTCGTCGTGGATTGTGATAGGGTTACCCGATTTAACGGAAAGTAACCTATCAACCAACGGTGTCAGCTTCATTTGTGAACCACTCGAATATGGGCTATGCTACCGGTCCAGGCTATAGACCGACCACCACGCTCGACGCCGGCGGTTACGGTCAGCTTCACTGATGTCTGGATGGGATACTTCTTGGTGGAGTCCGAGAGAGATTGCCATCCGCAATGCCAGTCCGATCTAATACCATTCATTAGCGGTCAGATATAAACCATGAAGAAACATGGCCCGTACATAAAGGAAGGCGGCATCTCGGCGGTTGAGGTTCTGCATGTAGTACGCGACATAGCATATCACCTCAACGAAGAAGATAGATCCTTCTTCATGGATATCGGGCAGGAACCGCAGCGCATGCTTGAAATATTTGAACCCGGGGGGCCCGTCGTCGCCCGACCATTGGTTGACTGAGTACATCAACCCAAACGCAATGACCAGCATGGTTTGGCAATAGACCAAGCAGGATTCGCGATGCGAGAAATCGGGTGGTTGGTGGTAGACTATATCCAACCGCTCTTCAAACTCCACGGGCTGGATAAGGGAGAAGATGGTGCCGATGTAAGCATACTGGACCCAAAACAGTCGCTTGGCGAACTCGAAGGGTGGCAGCTGTGGTAGTGCCCCCATCACCGGCCGCCGCAGGGACGAAGGGTCATCGTAAAGCGGCCGCACATCCCACGCTAGGTTGGAGGAGCCGGGGTTCAAGCGCTTGGCCAGATGGGTGGCGGATGAGGCGCCCACGAAGTCTGGGGGAAAAAAGGAAATAATCAGTGGAGACTTTCCGATTCGGAGAGACTAGGCATACGATGTTCGCCGGAGCGATTCAAGAATAAATTATCGGTGCCTTTGTACCACCAGTCGTCCCGTTCGGCTGAAACCTCGCCATCGGAGTCGCGGGTGGACGGGTTGGAGAGCACACTGGAGGGCACGCTCGACGGTCGGTCTATTTCTCCGCGTCAGAAGTAATGAGTCCAGCGTTGTTAGCGAGACGGACCTTGTGTGCGTGAGGCTTGCGATTGCAGTTGACGGTAGTAGCTAGGCCCGCAGCATCAGCATCGTCGGACCGGTCATCGCGAATATGTCACCCTACCTCTCCGTGATCGAGACGCGCTTCTCAGCCTCGGAGTAGACGCACGGCCTGCCCACATCCACGCATGCCGCGCAGGGTTGCGGGGGTTTTCCAGCACAGCGAGTCTTGCGGCTGCGACAGCGGTTGCAGCTGCGTCGATCCGATCAGCGGCAGAACGAACCATAATTCTTCAATTCTTCACCTACGCTACCATCGACCGGCGCGTCGAGGGATCTTCCGACCGGCGCGACACGCCTCCAGCTTTGGCACGGACCATCTCAGCATCAAACGAAGCTCGGATGAAGAAGAATGTGGGGGAGGAAGAGACGGAAGCACCGATTTTCTCCACACGGGTGGTGCTCTCGTCGGGCCGATATCTCTCTCACGGAGGAGGTCTGATTATGAGGGATTCTTATGATCATTCGTTGCCTAGGCTAGGGCCACCACTATATCTCAACATTTAACTGCTTTTGTAGATTGTAGTGAATTTCCTACGCACGGCCTCATCCATCGTGATCCTCGCTCCCGCCTGTTATTCCTACCTGTACGGCAACATCAAAAAATGGCCACACCATTCGGGGGACTGGCCACGCCGCCGGGTACATTCAAGGGCACGCTACTGAAAAAGAAGGTCCATCGGCCTCTTTTGCGACATTCCTGGCCGAGGCGCTCCAGATCAAACAATTCCCCGATCGGAACGCCCCAGCCCGCGAGCAACCATTCATGCAGGAAGAAATCTCGGTTTTGGCACGGATAGGCCTCAAAGCTCGGATGGTCTCCCGCCACGGCAGCGAAGCTGTTCTCCCAGATCCAGCGCAGGGTGGCTTCGGACGATTCGACGCCGATGATAGGCGGCGCCGCGTGGCCCGCTAACTCCTGGCATTCGGCCAGGGACAGTCGTTCATATGCTCGTGTCCAGCCGGTGCGGACAAACAGAATATCACCGGGGCGGAAGGTGGTGTTCTGGGTGGCGGCCACCTCTTGTAGCACCGATACGGGGATGGACTGACTTTGGAAGCAATTCACTTCCTTCCCATTCGCCTCGGCCCAGCCCGCGTAGTCCAGCAGCACGCCACGCCCGACGATGCCGCCATTCGCCGCCCAGACTAGACGATCGGAGTCAACGAGGGAGTGGCGAAGATGAATGGGCGCCTACCGTGAATGCCATTCCGCGTGGAGGTTCGGATGTCTTCCAGGGTACAGCCGTTGAAGTAGAACCCATCCTTGGAACCGAAGTGCCGAAATCCATCCCACTGGGAGCTGCTCTGCGTATTGAAAAGCAGGACATCGTCATTGACGTGCCGGGGCGCCTTATTCTTGACAGTGTGCTCGAAGGCTGCTCGTCCGAAGCAGGGCGTTTTCATGCTGTCCAGTGGCCAGTCGGTCGACACGCGGACTCCCTCGACGATCTCTTTCGCCGCCGCCGCAGTATTCTCCGGAGTCAGGAGGTTCAGCATACCGCGCTGGTCGTGATCACCGAACAAACCCCAGGCATTCCCCGGGGGGCCATCCTTGCGGAGCGGAAGGGCGTCAAATGCAGGCTTCGGGGTCGCCATGATGTGTCGGTCGTGGAGGAGATGCTGTCCCAACGCGCTTTTCTGGCCGTTCATCCCTCTCTACCCCGCATCCGGAGCCGCTCCTCGATCGGCCAGGAGACCTCGGGCCATCCGGTAGTGGGTTCCATTTGGCTCTCTTCTCCGTCGCAGGGAAGTCCGGGCTGCGTGGGGAGCCGGATGCGAGGGGGAAATCTATCTCCCCGGGGCATACACGATCCACTCCACGTGACCTCAATTAATCACAGCCGATCCTTATCTGCCTGTCGTCATCGCCACTGGGAGAATTCGTGTTGCCAGACGAAGACGCCAGGGTCAGCTGTTTCAGAGTCCCCGTCCACACCGAAGGGATGTCTCAACGGTGATGGGTCGGAATGGCTCCTCGGCTTGCGTCGTCGACCCGCACGGGGGGTCTTGGACCATTCTGGATGATGGTGGACGAGTAGTGTTCGGTCGGAGCACGGAGTCGACTTCGTCCCCGACCATTGTGCATTCTTGCCTGGTCGACTCTCCTCGTAGCCGGGACCTCTCCGTCGATGCCGTTACTATTTACTCGCAGCGGTAGGCTGGGTCGTCGAGGCCAGGGACCGCCGGTGGAGCTGCCCAGGAGGCCGATGACGAACGACAGCCCTGGAGACGATGGATCGCCCCTGTGGCGGACCCTCATCAGTGCCCGGTACCTCCAATCAAGGCTCTCAAGGATCCAAAAATATCCATCTCCTGCGGATGCCGCAGTCCACTGTGCTTCGAAGAAAATCTCCTGTCGACGATCGATGTCTTTTCTTCAAGACCACTCCCTGTCCACGCCGCGTCCTCATCAGGCTTACCTCAACGACCCTCACAACGCCACCTACGCAGTGCTCCCCAGAGATTAGAGGCCCGTTGCTGGGAGGTGGATGGACGATTCGTGGACACCTCGTTACTGGTATTTGAAGCTGCGGTGGTTGCCTAACGATTCATTTTCGTCCTTCTGGTCGGAGATCGTGGATTTTGTCTGATCGGGTCCTCTGTCTATCGTCACATTTGGTTCTTCGCCCGTGGGGGAGCTGTTCACCATGGGAACGCCTTTGCCAACGTCTCCCCGCTCGCCTCGCTCGCCCGTGTCGGCTCATTCGCCGCAACCGAGTGAAAGTAGCAGGTATTCCCACAACTTTTCTTCTCGTGAGGTAAGTGACATGACCGGGATGGATAGACTTGAACGAGACTAATGTCGACTGTGGATGTGAAGGCCCAGGCGTACGGCTACGAGGGAAAGAACGAGCACGCAGAGAGCCAACAGTCGTTGCTCTACCGCCAACCGAGCCCGTTGAATGCGCCCTATGACGATCCATATGCCTCGACGGATTCCCTGCGTCGCTATACCCTGCATGATCCCGGCGTCACTATCTTCCCCGATGGTCCCTACCAGGAATCCGTGGGCGGAATCAATCGCCGCTCGGGAGTTCAAACTCCCATGTCTGAGACCCCGTCGGAAGCGTGGCAGCAGCGACAGGCACCTGGTTCAGGGCTGCGCCGTTACGCGACTCGAAAAATCAAGCTGGTGCAGGGCTCAGTGCTGAGCGTGGATTATCCGGTCCCGAGTGCCATCCAGAATGCAATCCAGAGAGAGTACCGGGAATCGGAGGAAGGATTCCCAGAAGAGTTTACCCATTTGCGCTACACGGCGGCCACTTGTGATCCGGATGAATTTACCCTTCGAAACGGCTACAATCTGCGACCCGCCATGTACAACCGCCACACGGAGTTGCTGATCGCCGTCACGTATTACAACGAAGATAAAGTGTTGACGTCGCGGACATTGCATGGTGTCATGCAAAATATCCGTGATATCGTCAATCTGAAAAAGTCTGAGTTCTGGAACAAGGGCGGGCCAGCCTGGCAGAAGATTGTGTGTTGTATGGTATTCGATGGGATTGATCCCTGTGACAAAAACACTCTCGACGTGCTGGCTACGATTGGTGTCTACCAAGATGGAATCATGAAGCGATCCGTCGATGGTCGAGAAACCGTGGCACATATTGTACGTTTTAATCCCATGATCCCTCTTCCTCTTATCGCATGCTCGAACATTTGGCCCACTTTCGGGAGTCACTGACTAACGAGTAACAGTTCGAATACACCACCCAGCTCTCCGTCACTGCCAACCAGCAGTTGATTCGTCCTCAGGGGAACGAATCGACCAATCTCCCGCCGGTCCAGATGATTTTCTGCCTGAAGCAAAAGAACAGCAAGAAGATCAACTCCCACCGTTGGTTATTCAATGGATTTAGCCGAATCCTCAACCCTGAAGTAGTGGTTCTGATTGATGCTGGTACGAAGCCAGGCAAAAAGTCCCTGCTAGCCCTGTGGGAATCATTCTACAACGACAAAAACTTGGGTGGATCTTGTGGTGAGATCCATGCGATGCTGGGCCCGGGTTGGAAGAATCTCATGAATCCCCTTGTGGCGGCGCAGAATTTTGAGTACAAGATCTCTAACATTCTGGACAAGCCGTTGGAAAGTTCGTTCGGGTATGTTAGTGTGTTACCGGGTGCTTTCTCAGCGTACCGCTACCGCGCTATTATGGGTCGACCCCTCGAGCAGTACTTCCACGGTGATCACACACTCTCCCGACAGCTAGGCAAGAAGGGTATCGAGGGTATGAACATTTTCAAAAAGAATATGTTCCTTGCCGAAGACCGTATTCTCTGCTTTGAACTGGTCGCTAAGGCCGGGTTCAAGTGGCATTTGACCTATGTGAAGGCGTCCAAGGGTGAGACCGATGTTCCGGAGGGGTCGGCTGAGTTCATCAGCCAGCGGCGCCGGTGGCTGAATGGATCCTTCGCGGCCAGTTTGTACGCCATCATGCACTTTGGTCGGATCTACAAGAGCGGTCACAACATCATCCGGTTATTTTTCCTCCATGTGCAGATGATCTATAATTGTGCCGGTCTCATCATGACTTGGTTCTCATTGGGTAGGTGTTGCATTACTCCCCTCTTTGAGCGTGCGGCCACTGACATGTTATAGCTTCCTTCTGGCTCACCACATCAGTGATCATGGATCTTGTGGGAACACCGAGCGAAGCCAACAAAAACCAAGGATGGCCCTTCGGGAATAAAGCATCTCCGATTGTCAATAACTTCCTCAAGTATGGGTACATCTTTTTCCTGATGCTGCAGTTCATCCTGGCACTGGGCAATCGACCAAAAGGGTAAGTCATAAAATTTCATTCCTCGGTATCTAGAAAGCTGATTGGCGCAGTTCCCGTTTGCCTTATACACTTTCTTTTGCCTACTTTAGCATTGTCCAAGGCTATATCTTGGTCCTGTCATTCTACTTGGTCAAAAATGCTTTCACCGGTGGCACCATGGATTTTCACTGGGATGACGGCGTGAGTGCCTTCATTTCATCCTTTTTCAGCTCCGCTAGTGCCGGAATCGTCCTGATTGCATTGGTTTCCACATATGGTGTTTACTTCGTGGCCAGTTTCCTATACATGGACCCCTGGCACATGTTCACCTCTTCGTGGGCGTACTTCATGGGTATGACCTGTGCGATCAATGTGCTTATGGTCTACGCCTTCTGTAACTGGCATGACGTTTCCTGGGGTACCAAGGGATCCGACAAGGGCGACGCGTTGCCGGCGGCGCAGACCAAGAAAGACGATGCCAAGTCAAATTTCATCGAAGAGGTCGACAAGCCTCAGGCCGACATCGACAGTCAGTTCGAGTCCACGGTGAAGCGGGCACTGGCGCCGTATGCGGAACCGGAGGAGAAGGAAGACAAGAATATGGATGACTCGTATAAGGCCTTCCGGACCAACTTGGTGTTGCTCTGGATCTTCAGTAATTTGGTCCTGGCGCTTTGCATCACGAGCCAGGATGTCTCACGCCTGTGTCTCACGGTAAGCTGCCCCCTTTCCCTCCGCAATTACATGTTTCACGGTCCACTAACTTGCACAGAACACGTCGACTGACCGTACCTCCCACTACTTTTCGGCCGTTTTATGGACCACTGCCGGCTTGTCGCTGTTCCGCTTCTTTGGATCCCTCTGGTTTCTGGGCAAGTCGGGCATCCTCTGCTGCGTCTCCCGGCGATAGGCGGCTGATTTCGACTCGCTGTACCTGCCACCTATTGGGTCTCTGTATTTTCTAGCCTTTCTTTGGGATAGACATTTTATTTTGGGTTGAGCCTGGTTTGGGGTTCTCAACGTCTGCATTGCCGGGGTGGCATAGGTTATAATTCGATCTCGCGCTTGGGAATCTTATGTATAGTTGGAATTGATTGTGCATTATTGGGAATAATCACGCTTTTCCCATTTGTTCTTATGATCCACTCACCTCTTATCTTCGACACCGCGCTCTAGACAGCCCCTCCCGCTAGGCCATGATGGCGGAGCACAGCCTTCCGAGAAAACCGATTGCTGACAAGGCCGTGACAGGCTCATTGGTGAACTCCAGCTGGCAGGAATGTCCACCGTGCATTCAGGCAACTCAATTGGCTTCACCTAACATCCTCAGCCACCGTTTGCATTTTCGTGGGTGTGTGCCACTACTGGCCATGGCGCAAGAGACTTTCGTCTCCATATGCACACCACCGTCATTGCCCGCGTTCCCCGCATTACGAAGGGTGGATCGCCCCCGACCGGTGGATCTCTGTTCCAAAATCGGTGTTTCCCTAGGCCCGTTGATTTGCCGCCGCCTGCCCCTTGATGGAGCCGACACTTCCCTAGTGGCGGTTGGCTGAGGTACCGTCCTCTCATGTCGCATTTGAAGCAGTGGTTTAGGCCTGCCCGGACATTTGGCAATGATGCCATCCCGAGATGAACGCTCGCGTCACTTGCCCTTAGGGGCTCTGGGCCCGGCATGTTGAGGCATTTTCAGCAATGCCCATTCCGGGCTGGACTAATGGAACGGTAAACTATATAAGCGGCCTCATGCTCGGTGCGGGTGGCGCGCTGCTCTCATTCCTACATACTTACTTCCTCTACGTGGCCTCTCCTCCATCTGTTGGCTATTGCTATACTATACTCTTCCCCAATGGCACAATTCATCCCCAACCTCTCTTCTGAGTCTCTTCTAGACAAGGTTGTCCTGATCACCGGTAGGCCTTCCCCCTGATCCCCTGCGCTGCTTCCACCCACACTCCCCCACACCATCCCGCTGTGGGCTCACACGAGCTGTGTAGGAGGTTCCAACGGCATCGGTGCAAGTCTAGTACGACAGTGCCTGGAAAATGGCGCCAACGTTTGTTTTGGAGACCTTGACAACATCACCGGTGAGCGTTTAGTGAAGAAGTGCCTTGAAGTGTTCCATCCGGCGGAAGAACACCAGGCTCCCCGAGTTGTTTTCCAGTCAACCGACGTCACCAACTATGATTCGGTTTTGGGTCTGTTTGACCTGGCCTTCGAGACCTACAGTCGCATCGACCACGTCGTCTCGGCGGCTGGTATCGTGGAGATTGGCAACTGGTTCGATTTCGGTCTCACGCTGCAGACAGTTCGCCAGGTAAGTTCTCTTATCGCACTTGGTATATAAGCTGGGGGAACCAGAGGTGACCGGTCTTGCCAGAAACCCACCCACAAGGTGCTGGATGTTAATCTTCTCGGTTCCATGTATGTCTCGCGCATTGCCTCGGTCTATCTTCGCCACAATCGTGGCCCGGATGCCGACCGATCCATTCTGCTCTTTTCATCCGTGGCCGGGTTCAAAGATAGCCCATCCTTGTTTGTCTACCAGGCATCCAAACATGGTGTGACTGGCCTTATGCGCTCGCTGCGCAGCTACATCTCGTCCCCGTATAAGCACAGCCTGCGGGTTAATACTATCTGCCCCTGGGTGACCGAGACCGACACTATCAAGAAGATCGAGCAGAAGTGGAAGCAGGCCAACCTGCCAACCAACAGTCCCCAAGAAGTTGCGACTGTGGCCACTGGTATGCTTGTCGACCAATCCCTCAACGGCTCTTCTATGTTCGTTGAGGGGGCCGAGCCTGGGAAATTGAAAAGAATATCAACCGGCTTGAAACCCAGTGGCTGGGCGAGGCACCATCCAAGGCTTTGGCAATGGGACAGGAGCTGCTTGATGATGGAGCCATCTGGACCGCAACTCTTCGCAAGAAGAGCATTATTTCGAGCGGTGTTCCGCCCGGTGTTCCGACCAGCAAGCTTGAGAGCATTCAGATCGGCGTTGGAAAAGAACAGGTGAATGGCCAGACGAACGGACTGGTTAACGGAGTGCACTAGAAGTATACGCCCTTGAAATTTCCCTTACTTTTTTTACTCGATACCCATCATCATTTGCGACAACAAAGGCCTCAGTTCGATACGTTCGATAAACCGGATACAATGGATACACCAATATACTGGGATATATATAGACGGGCCATTGGCATCTTGAAAGTTGCCTTCTTTTTTTATGCACATAAATTGAACTAAATTGGACAATGTTTCTTTACCCATGACGCCCACTTTTTGTTGCCCACATGGTGATCATGTAGATGCATCCCCCGCAAGTGGATCGGAAGTGGATATCCCATGTGTCTGCTGGAGTCGACCCAGTTTCCCCAGATTCTCTCAGTTGCAGCAGTGGGAAGCCGGCACTCAATGACTTCCACATCGGCTCGTCCTCCCTCTCTTTTACCTTGGGATAAGAAAAAATGGTTGCTGATCTTTCATCTTGACTGCTCCTGAAGGCCGACCGATTGCGTCATCTTTGAGCGACAATGTCCGATTTCTCCCTAAGGATCTGCACCAACGCACCGCTTCAAAGAGAAAGAGACGAAGCAGCGCCCCCCCCAAAAAAGAAAGAAAAGATACAGCATTCATACCATGTGAGCAAGAAATCGGCCTTCAAAATCTAGATCAGTGTCAGCGCATATTGCTGAGATCACTTTGCGAGAATGTGGAGAACCATGTCCGTAAAAGGTCATATAGTGCACTAACTCAGTTTTAGCTGACCTTGCGCCACTTGCCAAGTGAGATCAACTTGCGATTTTAACAAAAGAGGCACGTGTGGACCATGCCAGACGAAAATGTGGCCTTGTCCCGTCGCAATAACCTGCCGGTTCGGACCCTCCGAAGGCTGGAATCGACTTCTACCGAAATATACAAGCTCCCGCCGAAATGGCGTGCAGGACGGCGACGGCAGCGAGGATTGCCTAGGAGCATTGATACAAGAAGCTCGCGTCAATGCGGGTGTGTTGATTCGCCCTTCCCCTGTTGGCGTAGAGATCGGGGTCCGCATCTATCGCGTGATGCTGGAGCCGGTGGAGGAGCTGGATGCATCCAAGTTGTTGATGGCGCTCGGCGGCGACTTTTTGGTCGTAGTTGAGATCCGCGACCGCAACAGACCAACCTCTCTGGTGCCTGCGTTCCATAGTAGGCAATCCGAAATTTGAACGATCAAACTCCAGAATATATATATTGGTCACTGCTCTACATACCCGCCGCAAGTTTTCCTCTTAACAATTTTAAGATGATTAACAAATCTTCTATTAGCGACTACTAGCTTTAACCATAGTTAAGCTCCAGGCCTCTTTGAAACTAGACAATCACGCTATACAGTATGGAGAGCCTCTCACTTTGAGGATGTAGCCCATTGAATTTAGTTGCAGAATACCCCTACATTCGACGAGACTAATGCATGTTGTTACACTACAAGGCTAAGTGATGTAAACCGGGCACCCAAAATATCGTCGCAGGTAGCCATGTTCAACGCCCTTTTTACCCAATATTGGTCATCTGTAAATCCCGTCATATAGATTATCTTAGGTTGTTGGCTTCGCTGGTTAGTTATCGAGATTGCATAACTAACACACACTAAGCAACTACTAAGCACCCACAAAACTTTGGTCGCAAAAATTTTCACTTCAGAAGAACAATGCCTCGGTCGGGACAGATGTCCAAGTTGGTGATGATGATGGGCCGATTCAGATTCTAGGCCTTTCTTCACATGTATATCATCGTCTCAGCCCCTGGTAGCTGCTAGATCTTCCTTGGTGCTAAGACATAGGAATGCATTTTGATTGGTCCACCTCAGCCTTATGACGCCCATGTGGTCATACGTTTATTAGTTATGTCTACCGTCAACTCATGGTGATCATACTTTATAATCCTAGTAGTAAGAAGGGTGATTGGCCTTTTCCGCAGGATTTCTACTTCTCAATATCCGATAGCCGTCGAAAAACTTAGCCCGAAAACAACATGAACGAAATCCGAGGACAATACAAGCGTTCGCCCGACAAAACTGAAGCATGGATTCTTGGCAGTGGAACTGCATCCTTAGCGTCAGCGCTCTATTTGGTGCAGTTTGCCAAGGTACCTGCATCGAAGGTGCACGTTTTGGATTCTCATATCTCAATGGGACAAGTTTTGCACAACAGCGGAGATCCCACCAATGGATATGATCAGTTCGCCGCATGCTTACCTGTTCCGGTCGGAACCCCTTTAGCAGAGCTTCTTGCCTTGGTGCCTTCAGTGAGCGGCCTCGGGCACACCGTTTGGGATGATATTAAATCGGCAGAGACCAGGCGTGTCAAACAGCGCAATAGTCGCACACGCTTCTTGGTCCAAAAAAACGACGCTCTGAATGACATACATACAAATTCGTTACATTTGAGCGTTCAACATCGCTTGGAGTTAATAATGCTTGTGCTGAGGGGAGAAAAGCGCCTGGGAAGAGCTCAGATTCAAGATTTTTTGCCCCCGTCTTTCTTCCAAAGCACCTTCTGGACTATCTGGACTGCTCAGTATGTATTTTCCGAAGCTCTTCTAAGCGGGCCTTTGATGCAATTTCTAACTCCTAAAAACTCTGTGTGCCTCCAGGTTTGGATTCCAGCCGTGGCACAGCGCAATTGAGTTCAGACGTGCTCTTCGTCAGCACATTGATGGATTTCACAGCTTGAGTCTTTTAAGCTGTCTGGACCTCACGGGTTACTACCAGAACGAGTCAATATACCTGCCTACGTTTCTCCATCTTGAGAGGCTGGGCGTGGATTTCCACTTCGATACGAAGATTACGAACATTGAGACAACTATTAAAGACGGTCAGGAGACAGTTTCGCAGCTGGACATGATTCAGAACGGATTTAAGATGCAGCAAACAATCAGTAGGGATGACGTTGTCATTATGACGCTGGGGTCTACTGTCTCAGGTGTGACTAGGGGAACGAATGATCGTCCTCCAGGACGCCATTCGCTCGAGCCTCACGATGAACTCGATGAGAGTTGGTCACTTTGGTTGGAAATTGGATCCCGGAGCGACGTATTTGGCAATCCATACAATTTCTGCACCCGCGAGTCAGAATCACTATTGGAATCTTTCACAATTACCACAGCAGATCCTAGCCTTATCGAATATGTTGATTTACACGCACACAACGTGACCGAAGCTGGGACATTCATTTCTTTCCAGGAGAGCTCGTGGAAATTAAGCTGCTGTATTCCTACACAGCCAGTCTTCAGCCAACAACCAAAGACCATTCGTATTTTCTGGGGCTTCGCACTCCTCCCGAAGCGCCCAGGAAATTATGTTAAAAAACCAATGTATGATTGTTCAGGGGCGGAAATCACGAAAGAAGTGTTAGGCCATCTGCACTTCTCTTCTCCAACTCTACGCACCATGACCATTCCTCGTGTGATGCCACGGATGAGCGCTATGTTACTAATCCGCTCCCTGGGTGACCGACCGCCAGTTATACCTCAGAACATCTCCAATCTTGGCTTGGTCGGACAATTCGCGGAAATTCCGCACTTCAGCTGTGTGGACACAAGCTACAGCGTTCGTACTGCGCAAGTGGCTGTGTCCCAACTGATGGGCATCGATGTGCAATATGTTAAAGAGAAGAAACCGTCAATCTTGGATCTGCTAAGGAGTTTGCTATGGAAGTGATTCTGATCGACTTGGCCCCAGATTGTAGTTCGCTGTCAACCCATTATTATTATTATTATTATTACTACCATCATCATCATCATCATCATCATCATCATCATCATCATCATCATCATCATCATCATCATCATCATCATCATCATCCGCAATCAGACCAAGCTGGGACTAACGTCGAAGATACAGTGGGAGATAAGCTTTTGACGCTTGTCGACTTCTGGGGCGCGGTTCTTGTCAAGACTGGAAAAAAGCGGATCTTAGTTGACATCCTATTTTATGCAAGTCCGTTTACTCTCTCGTGGACCAATCACCTGCTGCAATCACAGGATAAGGTTCAAGGAACGCTCATAGGTAGGCACAAGGAGCTCGGAGAGGTGAAGGACTGGTAGCCAGAGCAATATCGAAGGGATCGGTGAGCAGCGTGGTGAGCGACTGATCGCCTAGTAGCGGTTCAGTCTACGACCTAAGAGCCGAGCACAACCAGAGGTGGCAATTTCACGATCACTAACTAATATTACGTTTAAAAAAATGATCTTTTGATCACTCGCGATGACGGTGGGCGTTCAGTCCCCTAGACCACCCGCCTCGTCTAACTAGCATCTGAACGGCGATGTAGAGGTAGCGTGAACCATAAGTTGCATAAACTATGTACACCGAACGCGGATGGTAATTTTTATAGACCATCCTCGATCGCTGCCACCTCGGCCATGGTCTCCCGAATCGATTTTTTGGCGGCTTCTCCAACCCGTTCGTAGGGATGCCGAGGGGCCAGCTTCTCGGCTGCTCTTGAAATTCCTGCCAAGCGGGCCGAGTAGCATGAAACAGCATGCTTGGTCGATGCGATACCGCTTTTGATAGGATTCTCAGCCAATGCCGCTTTCCTCTGCAGCTTCATAGCCTCGTCGACTTGCCCATTCTGGTACAACGTGTAAATCCGGGATGCAGTCTTCGGGAACACATTTGCAAACGCTGCAATGCATCCTGCGCTACCTGCGACAAGCCCCCCGACGAGAAAGTCTGACTGGCCGCCGAAGGTTGCAAACTCCTCTGGCGCAAAAGTAGCGGACAACCGGGTGATCTTCCCCACAGACCCACAGGTGAGCTTGACGCCGACCACATTAGACTGGGCTTGGGGATGCCTCGCTGCTGACTCGTGAACAATCGTGGTGATTGTTTCCGAATCCAAGTCGACCCCATTGCACACCCCCGGGAAGTTGTAAATGACTACCGGCAAGGGTGACTTAGCTGCCACTTCCGAAAAGAAGCGTTTCACCACGTCCATGGTGGTGGCTTTGCCAAAATAGGCGGGCGGAAGCACCAAGACATAGTTCGCGCCCGCCGTGGCAGCGTCTTGGATGAGCTCTAGGGTCTGTTTGGTCGAGTGTGCACCGACGCCAGCCATGAGAGGGAAGCCAGGGCCCACGGCTGCTCGCGCCGTCGAGATCAGCTGCGATCGTTCCTCCCGCGTTAGGAGGAAAGCTTCGGAGTTGGTGCCCATCAGGACCAGCCCTGCGGGGCCCGATTGCGCGAGATAGTGAAAATACTGTGACTGGGCTGAGAGATCTAGGGTATCTGTGTCCTGATGGAAGAAGGTCACGGCCGGACACCAGACCCCCGCCGGTGGGATGTGTGGGTGAGGCGATACAGTTGAGTGTGATGCCATGATGTTTTGATTTTCAAGCTTGTCCGTCGGATTCGGGAGGAGTCGATGGTTCTATATGGGTGTTGCCCCTCCGTCGATGCCGTTTATCTGGTTCTGTCGGATGCCCACCCCGACAATGCTCGGAAGTACCTCACCCGCATCGTCAAGGAGCCAAAGGTATCGGAAGCCTGCCCCGATGTTTGGCTTCGGCGGTCTACCCGAGACCTGATGCGCGACTGTTGGAGAAAATGACTCGGATATCCCACCGACATGGTTTGCGTCCAACCCTCTGCATGAACGATCACCACACGGAGTCCTCTGAGGTACTTTCGCTGCTATCGCAGGGCGGAATCGGAGTGCGGCTGACAATGAGTCATCGTGGGTTTGTCTACCACCACGAACTTCTCGGATATTTTGGTCAGTTCCCATGTCGCATGCCATGTCGGCTCCTCAGTGTTGGATTTCATCTGCCGTCGCCGAAGAGAGCGAGTATGTGGAGGTCACCCACCTCCGTCGCCAGGCTGATGTGTGCCGCCAATTGTTCCCCCAGTTCGACATCCTGACGGAACAACGGGCCAGAGCAGGGACAGTCATCCGAACCCTGCCCGAATTTCAGGGGAAGATGAATCGGGTCGCGGCATTTGGAACGACAGGGCCCGTGGACAACGTGGATGTGCGCGACCTGGAATCAACCTACGCCGCCATCGGGCTGCGTCCGGAAATTCACCTCGGACCGGGGGCGCATCCTTCGGCGCTATCGTGCTTGCGAGCTGAGGGATATACCGCACAAGGCATCCTGAACACGTATGTGTGCTCGCTCAAGAACCATAAGATTCCTGTCGCGCGCCCAGGCGCCACCGCTGCCGGGCCGGTCATCCAGCAGGTCAGCGCGCAGGACAGTAGTGAGCGATTTATCCAGGCGTCGATCGCTGGGTTTGCGGACGGAGGCCGGTCGCCCTCCTTACTGCGCGTCCTGGCGCAGATAGCGACCCTCCGAGAGGACACCCGATTGTTTCTCGCGACGATCGATGGAGAGATTGCGGGCTCCGCAGCCTTGGCGGTGGTTGACACCCCAACTGGGAGCGTGGGCCACTTGTACCTGGACAGCACGCTGCCATCCTATCGCGGTCGGGGCGTGCAGGCGGGCCTCATCCAGGCGCGGCTGGCTGCCGCTCAACGGCTCCGATTAAAGCTGGTGACCACGATAAATCGACCAGGAACGGGCAGTGCCCGGAACTCCGAGCGCGCTGGGCTGCAGCTCGCCTACACCACTGCAATTTTTGTTCCAGAAGGTCGTTAGTCCGGTTCGCAGCAGAGTTTATGACCATCGATCCATGCCCGTTTGGGGAAGTGGTGGCGTTTTGGTGGCTGAAACGGGCAATGCGAAGGAAGGAAAGGAAGGAAAATCACGTGACGAGGCAGGTTGCTTATCTCGGGCTGGCCGGAAGTGATTGGCTCCGGTCGCTCGAGTGAATGATGCGGCTCGGTTTGTCTTTTTGGTGGCTGCGCTTCTCCCGTCCTTCTTCGATCTCCCACCATCCATCGATATCAATCCCTCTCCTTGATAATTTCCCCCCGTGTCGTCTCTCTTCTCCCCACACTCCCTCTCTCTGGGGTCGTGGGGTACTGCAGCACTGTCTCCAACCTGATCATCCCCAGCCTAGGCCGAACCGGCGCCCCCAAGTCACATTCTTTTACATAACCGCCCGAAACCTTCTTATCGGGGCGCTGCCACCGGGCGTATCAGAGCAATCCTGGTGGATCGAGTGGATCGGACGGGGCTTCCTCGTTGGTTGGAGGATCCCGAGTGGACCAGCGTCGTACTCCACGTGTTGGAGACTCTCTTAGTCACCGAATCCGCTTTTGCGCCGGTCACTGCAGCACAAAGCCGGATCCGATCGTGGCTGCAAATCCTGCCCGAGAGACTCTTTCCCTGGACACTGATACATATACCTCCTACACCCCCCGACCACGCGACTGGACTGTTCGTCCCCCTCGTTCCTCACCTCCCTAATCCTCCCTCATTGCTCATCATGGGCTACTCCGACGAGAATTCCAGCAACAATGGCTACGACTCCAGCAAGGTCGCCGATTCCAGCGCCGACAAGGAGTTCGTGGCTCCTCCACCCTTTGACGCGGATATCGTCGGGGAGATGAGCGAGGCCGAGCGCAACATCTACGACCACGGGGTCCAGAAATTCAGCCGCCTGGGCTGGAAGCGCTTGACCGTCGTGCTCATTGTCGAGGCCATTGCCCTGGGTAGTCTGTCCATCCCTCAGACCTTCGCCAAGCTCGGCATGGTCGCCGGTGTCATCTGCTGCGTGGGCCTCGGCATCGTGGCCATCTACACCAGCTACATCGTCGGCCAGGTCAAGTTGATGTTCCCCCAGGTGGGCACCTACGCCGATGCGGGTACCCTCATGTTCGGCCGCTTCGGCTACGAGTTGATCTTTGCGATGCTGGCGTTGCAGCTGATTTTCCTGACCGGGTCCCACTGCCTGACCGGCACCATTGCCTTCCAGACCATCACCCAAAGCGGCCTGTGTAGCGTGGTGTTTGGCGTGGTGTCCGCCATCATTCTGCTGGCGCTGGCCGTCCCCCCCAGCTTCACCGAAGTCGCCATTCTGGGCTACATTGACTTCATCTCGATTGTGGTCGCCATTGGCATCACCATCATCGGCACCGGCATCGAGGCCACCAACCAACCCGGGGGACTGGGCGCCGTGCCATGGTCGGCGTGGCCCGCGCCCGACACCACCTTCAAGGATGCGTTCATCGCCGTCTCCAACATCATCTTCGCCTACAGCTTTGCCATGTGCCAGTTTGCGTTCATGGACGAAATGCACACCCCGGCGGACTTTGTCAAGTCCATCTGGGCCCTGGGCCTCACGGAGATGGTCATCTACACCGTCACTGGGGCCACCATCTACGCCTTTGTCGGCCCGAGCGTCCAGAGCCCTGCGCTGCTCTCAGCCGGAATGACGCTGAGTCGCGTGGCCTTTGGGGTGGCCCTCCCTGTCATTTTCATCAGTGGGTCGATCAACACCGTGGTGTTCGGTCGCATGGTTCATGGCCGGATTTTCAAAAACTCGACCATCCGTTTTATCAACACCAAGATGGGCTGGATCACCTGGTTGGCCGTCATCACCGGGGGGACCATCATCGCGTTTGTGATTGCCGAAGTCATTCCCTTCTTCTCGGATTTGCTGTCGATTTCCTCCGCCCTCTTCATCTCCGGCTTCACCTTCTATTTCCCCTCCCTGATGTGGTTCATGCTTATCCGGAAGGGAAGTTGGACCTCGCCTCACAACCTGCTTCTGGCGGCCGCCAATGGGCTGATTCTTGCCATTGGCCTGGTGAC